CACACACACACACACACAAACGCATCAATTCTTTACGAGATGAGGCGGAGGAGGACGAGCGGGTTGTCGTATTTTTTTAAGAGTAAGAAATGAGCAAAACTAATCATCCTAGACCCAAAATTTAACCTATATTAGCCCTATTCAGCCTATCCCCAACCTCAGTGCCTAAAATTAACCATTAATCCTGATCCCTCATATTAACCTCAGACCCCCAACCCAAAGACCCCTAAGTGGCGCAACCCAGAAAATCCGCGGGCGGCCAGGACTGATGCGCGGGGGGTACCCGACGTGTCAAAACTGGACGCAGACGGTCCCTGACCAAGCGTCAATAAGTCGGGAGTGAGTGGCTTCATTCAAAAGTTCACATTGTCGAGCCCGTTCTCATGCCCCCCGTGTCAACATATTGATGCTTGACCAAACATCAATATGTTGAGATGGGGGGTAGCCCCCACGCGTCCGTTTTTTACAAGATGAGGCGGAGGAGAACGAGTCCCTGAACACAGACCCTAAAGTTAACCATTTTAACCCTGATCCCTCATATTAACCATTTTCATCGTAGACGCTGAATTTAACCAATATGTAGAGCCTATCCATGACCCCAGTCTCTCAAGTTAACCATTATCCCTGACCACAGACCCTAAAATTAACCATTAATCCTTGATCCCTCATGTTAACCTCAGATCCGGAAAAGCCGCGGGCGGCAAGGACGGACGAGCGGGGGGTACCCCCCCCACATCAACATCAATATGTTACGAGTCCGACATGAGAACATGTTACATTATCAGAATCAGCATCAAGTATGCTGCGACACAAACAGCTGGACTCTGGACTTTTTTCGCTCTTGTACTTATTGTGCAAAACACATCAGTAACTTACTAAACATGTAGAAAATATAGACATAAATGAACATGAGTATAGAACAGTTAACAAGTCAAAATGGAAAGTTAAAGTTTCCTGATGCATCTCAGTAATCCAGGTAAAAAATCAAAAATKAAAAAATAGTATAGGTCTTCTGGACGAGTTCATCTCTAATGAAACGTTTCGTCTCTCCTCCAAGAGACTTCTTCAGTCTGAGAGTTTCAGGCAGTTTCAGGTTTCATTTGCCTGAAACTCTCAGACTGAAGAAGTCTCTTGGAGAAGAGACGAAACATTTCATTAGAGATGAACCCGTCCAGAAGACCTATACTATTTTTTTTCTTTTTGAAAGTTAAAGTTCATGACGTGCAGGTCAGGTGAAGGAAGTAGTTCAAAGCAAGGATGAACCTGGTGAGTGTGAGGAATGCATAATAAATACTGTCACCACATGACAGCCAGCTGAACATTTCATGCTTTACAAGTGTTGGTTTCAAAGATTTGAAGCTGTTTTACAAATAGTTTATGTTCATTATGCTGACATTCTTATCTTAAGGCCTGTTTTTGAGACAGAAACACAGAAAACCTTCAGCTGGATCAGCAAAAACAGGAAATAAAACGCTGCGAGATACATTTACATATCTGACAGTATTGTTTAAGTCATGTTATGTTCTGTTTATTTTCTTTTCGTTTTTCCTTCAGGCTCCAAATGCGCTTCAGACCAAGCAGACTTCTCCTGACTGGGTCATTTACACTCTCAGTATCCCACAAGCCAGCTCTCAGGACAGCGGCACCTACCAGTGCTCCATCACACACGCAGCCAGTGGAAAAACCCGAGTCAGCAGCGTGGCTGTAACTGTGTTTGGTCAGTATCTCTGTCAGAAACATTCCCAAAATATCTCGAAAAAACGTCTCCAAKTGAACTGTAATAAGTTTTGCTCGACGTGGTGATTTACAGTYAGTGAAATATATTCGATCGTCTCGTCATCACTCAGGTGAATTAGAGCATTCTTTAATGTGTTTGTGCAGTGTGTAGAATACATTTTCAGTCATTCAGTCGTAAAGTGTAGCTCTGGTTTTAACATCAGCCTCTATGTTTTATGGGATGGCCTAAACAGATGCGTGTCAGGCCTGTCACTGCCACGCAGCTTCTTTTCCCTCTTCCTTTCCTCACACTTTCTTTCTTTACTTTTATTTGTTAATAATTATTCACTTATTGGTTTTTTTCTTCTTCTTTACTTAGAGGAGAATTCATTCCTGACCCTGGACCACAGTGGGATTCTTACAACTGAGTTTGTTAGCATTTTCGAGGCGACAGAATTTACCATTCTCATCAACGCTTACCCCGTCCCCAAAGTGTCATGGCTGAAAGATGGCAAAGAACTGTCAGAGAACTATTACATCTTCACCAAAACAAGCCACACTGAAGGCAATCGGTGAGCGTAAAGATCATTGTTCTACATTTGAGTYCTTTGAGGAGCTCATGAGTGGAAAAAAATGAAAGGACTTCATGGTGTTTTTGTTGATAAAAACATACCACAGTGTGGAGGGAGGAGCTGTGTTGTATGAGTGGCAGACTGTGATTAGACTGGTAGAGGACATATATGAGCAGGACAGTGGGGAGATATGGGGTGCCATGAGTAAAGTAACACAGTCAAAAATTACCAATATTTTTGTTTTATTTAGACTTTTATAAGAAAAAAAGAACAGATTTATTTTCAAAGTCAGTTTTTCACCAT